ACTACAAGGGCCATCCATCCAATCTCAGCCTCCTGCCATGTAAACCCCGTTATGTCTCACCTTTAAATGTATTTCCATTTTTTAATATTTTGATTTCATTTTTAAAACATTTGATATATATTATGCACAAAAAATTGAAAGGAATGTCTAATGTATCCAAAGAGAAAGGAATTAAGGAAGGAAGCAGGGTGCTTTCACCAGAGAAAGGGGAATGCAGGATTATCTCTCTCTGCAAGACTTCTTTTCAATGGATTGTCCCCCTTTTCAAGATCTCGTGCTTATAGATTGCCCCCCCCCTTTAATAAGGCCTCATTTTCATGAATTGTCCTCCTCCTTGAGACCTCTTTTTGATGCATTGCCCCCCTTTGCAAGACCCCCTTTTTAAATGGAAGCTGTCCCTCCCCTTTCTTGTTCTCTTTCCCCATCTTTGCTTGGCTCCCAGCCTCCCTCCAAGACCCCCAACCCATTTATATGGCAGAGAAAGACCCCCCATTCTTTCCCTCCCTCCCTCCCTCGATGCATATTTTATTTTAATTCTTTTACCTCCGATCTCGACTTCCAAAAGCAATGGCAGCAGCAGAGTCCGGTTCGAACCGGAGTCAGACCCGCACGGTTGCAACTTCTGCAGCAGACAAAAGAAAGCAGATCTCTCTCCCTCTCTCTCCCTCTCTCTCTCCTTCCTTCCTCCTGCTGCTCCTGCTTTTTAAAAAAATATAATTAAAATAGTAATAGTGATTGCACACCTAGATAGAGATTGCAAGAGGAGGTGGCGGATCCCAGCTCACAATGGAGTCCCCAGCATCTGTGCTCAAAAAAGGCTCACCCCCCCCCTTTGCAAAAATGGGGCGCCGAGGAAGACAAGGCCAGCGACAGGCAGCTAGCCAAGCCAGGCAGGCGCCCCTCCCTCGCAGGCAATCGGGTGGCAGCAGCGCCCTCTGGCGGTAAAGGAAGAGGCAGCACCCAAGCTCCAGGGGTTCAATTGCTTTTGCTTCTGAGGGATTGTTGTCATATTGGGTTGCTGTGAGTTTTTCCGAGCTGTATTGCCAATATCCGCTGGATAATGGAGAAAGGCAGGGAGTTTCAGAAAAACATATATTTGTGACTATTCTAAAGCCTTTGATTCTGTGGATCATTATTATTATTATTATTATTATTATTATTATTATTATTATTAACTTTATTTATACCCCGCAAAATCTCCCGAAGGACTCGATGCRGCTTACAAAGGCCAAGGCCGCCGACAACAACATACAATACACAATAAAACTCATAAGCAAATAATAAACATCAAGCAAAACAATAAAACAGTAAAACGATGACACCGTGACGCAATTAAAACCTAAAGGCCRGGCCAAATGTAATAGACAAAATKTAAAAGTGCTGAACTTGACAGGTAATRTGTAGAGGTATTTGGAGGTAGGTGCAATGTGCAGATAATCCTGAATCTCTATCAAAGTGCATTTGGGACTTGATGCCAGGAGTTTCCTATTCTGGAAATGCACACTGGAACAGCCAGGTCTTCAGGCTCTTCCTGAAGACTGCCAACATTGGGGCTTGTCTGATGTCCTTGGGGAGAGAGTTCCAGAGTCAGGGGGCCACCACAGAGAAGGCCCTGTCCCTCATCCCCATCAAACGCGCCTGCAACGCAGATGGGATCGTGAGCAGGGCCTCTCCAGATCATGAGCAGGGCCTCTCCAGATGATCGGAGGGAGCGTGCAGGTTCATAAACGGAGATGCGGTAGGCAGGTCCCAAACCGTTTAGGGCTTTGTAGGTGAGCACCTGCACCTTGAATTGGGACAGGAAAATGAACGGCAGCCAATGGAGCAAGTTCTTGGTGGTATGGGCATACCAAAACACCTTGTCTCTCTTCTGAGGAATCTGTATAAGGACCAAGTAGCAACAGTAAGAACTGACCATGGAACAACACACTGATTCAAGATTGGGAAAGGCGTACGTCAGGGTTGTATCCTCTCACTCAACCTATTCAACTTGTATGCAGAACACATCATGTGATGTGCAGGGCTTGATGAATGCAAGGCTGGGGTAAAAATTGCTGGAAGAAACATTAACAACTCTAGATATGAAGATGATACCACTTTGATGGCCAAAAGCAAGGAGGAACTGAGAAGCCTTCTAACCAAGGTGAAGGAAGAAAGTTCAAAGGCTGGGTTGCAGTTAAACATAAAAAAAAACCCCAAGATTATGGCAACCGGACTGATTGATAACTGGCAAATAGAGGGAGAAAACGTGGAGGCATTTCTAGGTGCAAAGATTACTGTAGATGCTGACTGCAGCCAGGAAATTAGAAGACATTTACTTCTTGGGAGGAGAGCAATGACCAATCTCAATAAAATAGTGAAGAGTAGAGACATCACACTGACAATGAAAATCTGCATAGTTAAAGCAATGGTAATCCCCGTAGTAACCTACGGATGTGAGAGCTGGACTGTAGGGAAGGCTGAGCGAAGGAAGATAGATGCTTTTGAACTGTGGTGTTGGAGGAAAGTTCTGAGAGTGTTGCTCCTTATTTACTGTCCTGGTTTTAGAGTTTTAAAATACTGGTATCTAGATTTTGTTCAGTTTTATTTTTTTCCTCCTTTCTGTTGAAATTGTCCACATGCTTGTGGATTTCAATGGCTTTCCACCCAGAGGAAAAGTGTTCTTACCATACATCATGGGGACCACTACCACATGGGGAAGTTGATGAAGAAACACAACCTACTGACGATCTACAGACCACTAAGAAAATCCAACAAATGCTACGTTCAGCAAAGGACAAGAGGGATCTTCTCACCTTTGCAGGAGTCTACCTTATACCATGTAGCTGTGGACAAGTCTACATAGGGACCACCAAACGCCACATTGCCCAAACACGAATCAAGGAGTACAAAAGGCACTGCAGACTAAGCCAACCAGAGAAGTCAGCCATAGCAGAGCACCTAATGACCCAACCTAGGCATAGCATATTATTTGAGAACGCGGAAATGCTGGACCACTCTAACAACTACCATGTCAGGCTACACAGAAAAGCCATTGAAATCCACAAGCATGTGGACAATTTCAACAGAAAGGAGGAAACGATGAAAATGAACAAAATCTGGCTACCAGTATTTTAAAAACTCTAAAATCAATAAATAAAGAGCAACACCCAAAAAGCAGGGGAATTCCAGACAAGAATAAATCAGGGCCAGCTAACATTCCCCCAGGGAACTACCAGCCAAGCACTTTGGTCTTTATTGTTTATGTTGTGAACTGCTTTGAGTTCCCCCCAAGAGTGAGAAAACTGGTATATACATGCAATAAATAAAATAAAATAAAAAACTACGTTATGGAATCAGGATTTGTAGCTTGGAGAGGCACCAGCACTCTTTGCCAAGAAAGGCTAAAGAAAGCAATTAGAACTCTCTGCAAGCATTCCTCTCTTTTTTGGTCTTTATCATATTAAACAGAGCCTGAATAAACAATTTGTGAAGAGATAAGAAATTTGCTTGTTTACATTTTCAACTTATGATGACAATGAATGAATGGAATTTTCAAGTCACACTATCCTCAGTATCCTCGCTCAAGTCTTGTAGACTTAAGGTCATGGCTTCCTTGACTGAGGGCCCTTCCACACAGCCCTATAACCCAGAATATCAAGGCCGAAAACCCCACAATACCTGCTTTGAACTGGGTTATCTAAGTCCACACTACCATATATTCCAGTTCAAAGCAGAAAATGGGGGATTGTATTCAGCTGTGGGGAAGGGGCCTGAGTCTATCTTTCTGGAATGTGGAATGTGGCCTTCCTCTTTTCCTATTATCATCTATATTAAAAAGCATGTTTGTCTTTTCTAGTTAGTCATGTGTGTAAAGCACAGTTTCCTGTTTTAAATTTATCAATATATTTTATTGTATGCAGCCCTGAGATTATTTTTGACACAGAATATAAATATTTTTTATTAATACATAAACAGTGTTCTTATTATACCTTTTCCTGCCTCAATCGATTTTCTGTAGCAGGAGAAAAAACAGAACAAGCAACAGGAAAAACACAGGATGAGCACAATGGATGATAACACCTCTTGAAAAATTCTGTCCATGAGGCATGGTGATAGCACCTGTCTCTAGAGATATCCTTGCTTGGAAGCTCAGAGAAAGAAAGAGAGTGTTTTGCTTTATTTTACTTATATACATTGAGACTTGCATTCTTCATGAGAGGTGGGTAATTGCTCAAGAAGTCCCACTGCAGAATTTGGTTTCACTGGTTGTTTTCAGATGCAATTACACTCTAGAATGAATGCAGTTTGACCCTACTTTAAGTGCCATGGCCCAGGACCCTTCTACACTGCCATATAATCCAGATTATCAAAGCAGATTATCCACATTATCTGCTTTGAACTGGATTATATGAGTCTACACTGCCATATAATCCAGTTCAAAGCAGATAATTTGGATTTTATATGGCAGTGTAGAAGGGGCCTCAGTGCTATGAAATCCTCGAATGTGTAGTTTGGTGAGGCATCAACATTCTTTGGCAATTAAGGCTAAAGATCTGGTAAAATCTCTGATCCCATAACACTGAGCCATGGCAGTTAAAGTGGGATCAAGCTACATTCATTCTACAGCAGGGATCCTCAAACATTTAAACCAGAGGGCCAGTTCATAGTACCTCAAACTGTTGGAGGACCAGATTATAATTTGAAAAAAAACATGAATGAATTCCTATGCACACTGCACATATCTTTTTTGTAGTGCAAAAAACACTTAAAACAATACAATAATTAAAATGAAGAACAATTTTAACAAATATAAACTTATTAGTATTTCAGTGGGAAGTGTGGGCCTGCTTTTGGCTGATAGGATAGGATTGTTGATGTTGTTGTGTGCTTTCAAATCATTTCAGACTTAGGTTGACCCTGAGCGAGGCCAGGTAAATGACCTTGGAGGGTCGTATTTGGCCCCCAGGCCTTAGTTTGAGGACCCCTCTTCTACAGTGTCAATGCACTCTTCATCTATTCTAGTGACTTTCTACATTGTACTCCAACACAGACCAGAAGGTGTTATCATTGGCATTTTGGGATACCATCACTCTAACCTTGGAGCTACCTGAAGTGTGGCAGTCTCCCTCCCAAAAATCATTTTCATGGTGAGTCAGTGGGTAAGTCTTCCCGCATTGAACAGATGCCTCATCTACACCAGGCATCTTGAGCTTAAACTGAACCTGGCGGTTGGCTGGCAATATACCAGCCAGAGGTGACACTAGCTCATAGTTTTCCTCCCAGTTCCGATACGTCAATGGAAAAACTGGCCACATTACGCTCTTGTTTGGACAGGAGAGGAGGTAGCTGAGGGCACACTGGTGGCCTCCTGGATCAGACGCCTTCTTAGCCCAGATATGCAGAGCAAAGTCCCCAGAATGAGGGAGATGAACCTTTAACTCCACCTGGCTTCCTTGGCAGGTTTTCCAAATATGACGCCTCCTTATATCTTCTGGCACCTTGCTGGAATCAGAATCCAGAGTAGCAAAGACATCCAGATTTTTCTTTCGGGTGAAAGTGACAACACAACGGCCATCCTCACTGAGGATTATAGGGCAATCGGGCAAGGCCTCTAGGATCCCGTTCTCCTCTGAATGCCAGCTGGGCCCCACTGGCTGGATGAGTGCTTTGGGCAAAAATATGCTTTTGTCTACAGAGCGACATTTCAAGGAGTATTCCAACACACTGCTGTACTCTTTTTCTGGGTCTTTGACGGCTTTGGCAAAGATCTCCAAACGGTGAGTCCCTGTCTGTGGGGGATAGACTTCCAGCAGAACCCCATTCTTTTGCAACGCCATCAAACAGTGCTCCTTTGCCCCATTCAGTGAAACCAGGAAGAGAACTGGAGCACGGCTCTCAATAAAAATGGTAGCTTTGCCATTTTCTGTAGAACAACAATAAAAATGTTCATGCAGTCAACAGAAATTAAATGTGTTCTTTTGAAAACATTTTACTGCAAATTTTAGAAGTGCAATGACACTTTAAAAATGCAGGCGAAATGTCAGGAGAGAATGCTTCTGGAACATGACCATACAGCCCAGAAAACACACAAAAACCCACTTAAAAATTAAAAAGGAAAGGAAAAAATACAGAACAGAAAGAAGCGAAAGAAGGAAAAGTAGAAGAAAAGCTGACTTCTAATTTTTCTTATGGCAGATACATACAGTTATTAATAGTTTTGGGTTGTTGTGAGTTTTCCGGGCTGCATGGCCATGTTCCAGAAGCATTCTCTCCTGAGGTTTCACCAACATCTATGGCAGGCATCCTCAGAGGTTGTGAGGTCTGTTGAAAACTAGGCAAGTGGGGTTTATATATCTGCTGAATGTCCAGGGTGGGGAAAGAACTCTTGTCTATTGGAGGCAAGTGTGAATGTTGCAATTGGCTACCTTGATTAGCATTGATTGGAGCATGAAAATGAACAATATCTGGCTACCAGTATTAACTCTAAAATCAGAACAGTAAATAAAGAGCAACACTCAAAAATGGGAATTCCAGACAAGAAACAATCAAGGTCAGCTAACACCTCCCAACAAAGGATTCCCACCATGCAGGAACCAGCCAAGTTTTGAAGCTACAAGGCCATTCAATGCTAATTAAGTTGGCCAATTGCAACATTCACATTTGTAACAGAGAAGAGTTCTTTCTTCCACCCTGGACATTCCACAGATATATAAACCTCATCTGCCTAGTTTCCAACAGACCTCACAATCTCTGAGGATGCCTGCCATAGATGTGGGTGAAACGTCAGGAGAAAATGCTTCTGGAACATGGCCATACATTCCAGAAATCTCACAGCAATCCAGCAATTCAGGCCATGAAAGCCTTCAATAACACATTCATAGTTTTCCTAGCTACAATTATGCACAGCCCTCCAGATTTGTAGATTTGACTTTTGTGGATGTCATTATTCAAGGATTTGATTAAAAAATTTTCTCTGTGAATCTCTAGGTCCTCAAGTACAACTCTATAGTCAACTTCCACCAGACGTTTACAGTAGAATCACATTGGAGAAAAGACTTTGCTAGGAGTCTCCAGGTTCTCTAATGTGAAGTTGACCATAGAGTCATGCTGGAGGACCTAAAGACCCTTAGAGAGGTGTTGTTACAGGTTAAAAATGCATCTAATTTTTGGGGTAGGTTTTCATTAACTTTCACTTCTTATGCTTTAATCTCAGCAAATGTGTAGAGCTGATTGCACAACAATTTGCTTCTTATTAATTATCAACCACAAATCACTGATTCATTTCGGTCTTTCCCCCACACAAATGGTAGGGAGTTTCAGGTATGTGCATGTTTGTTTTGAAAACTGCCATTACCTATTCTGAACAGCGATTAAAATGTTTTCTATCAACAGGCTTTTACTCAAAATCAAGTTTCTGTCCTTTGCCATTAGAGAGAGAACGGGTCAGGTGTACTATGGGAATCAAGGGAACTTTTACTGTTAATTATTACCTGTACTGTTTATAATATTTCAGATAGAAGTTTTCAAAGGAATTAACCCCCAGCCTGTTTAACACATCTGCCCTCAATCACTGGTCTGGATTCACAGTGCTGACATTCAAAGGCCTAAATGGTTTGGGATCTCAGTATCTGACGGGCATCTCTCTCTCTATATGTCTTCTCAAGGGGAACATCAGAGAGAACAGTGCATTTGTGAACTTACTAATGTTAGCTTTTTATTTCAAACACATTGTAAGTGGGGTGGTAGGTTTTAAAAAATGTTATAAAAACTCAATCAGACATAAGATAGTAGTAAAATGTTGGTAACACATTGCTTGCTAAAATAATAAGCACACCAATGTGATTGTTTGAGTAATGTGCAACCATGAAACAAAAGGGAGTAGGAGATGAGTTTCTTGTTTTTACCTGTTTCTATGACTGTTGTCTTCTCAGAGGATTCAACCAGCCCTGTGGTATAAAATTTAGGCCTGTAGCGGGCATTATTTTCAAACTGCTGCACCGTTAAGGGCTGCTTCAGAAGTTGCCACTTCTGATCTTCTGGGAAGTGGTCATTAATAAATAGAGCAGGATGAGTGAGGAAGTAAAATTCATTGTATCTGCAAAAGGAGGAAACAAAATATTGCTAAGTTTCATCGTAACAGGTCCTAGGGAGAAGGTGACAATGGCACTTGAAAATACATGCACTCTAGATCAAAGCTGAGTAGATTTTAATCTTATGAGGGATCTACAAAAGAAATTTTTTACAAGACCCCTAAAGTCCATGAGAACTCTTCACTTCACTTTATTTCTTAATTAGTCGCTCTCCACCAAGGTGCTCCGAGCTTTGAGATCCACCGATCCACTGACCAGGCACAGATGCAAAACAGCAGTTCAAGACAAACAACTTTATCACACCAACTCACAATGTGTTAATGTAAGCAAGGGATACATACTGAGTTGAGTACCTTCAATATCACACCTCTTTTCAATTATGCAATTGTGCCAGTTTGCCAATATGTGACCCTCCCATCAGTCCTTTGCAAAGCTCCTAACCTTGCCTTCCTACACTATTTTGCACCCAGTGTGTTTTGCGGTTCATATTTTTATTTTTGTAGCAACAGCATTATTCTAGGATTTTTTTAAAATCAGCAAAGATCTATCTATTTATTTATTTATCGTGTCATCAGCAACCATACCATTGTGTTACAATTCTAACAGAACAAAACAAACACACAGATTAAAAAACAAAACAAAAACAGATTTTGCAAACTTGGTAGTTGGTTAAATGTCCTTGGACCAGTATCTGGCCACTTGGAGTGCCTCTGGTGTTGCCGCAAGAAGGTCCTCCATTGTGCATGTGGCAGGGCTCAGGTTGCATTGCAGCAGGTGGTCAGTGGTTTGCTCTTCTCCGCACTCGCATGCCGAGGATTCCACCCTGTAGACCCATTTCTTAAGATTGGCTCTGCATCTCGTGGTGCCAGAGCGCAGTCTGTTCAGCGCCTTCCAAGTCGCCCAGTCTTCTGTGTGCCCAGGGGGGAGTCTCTCATCTGGTATCACCCATGGATTGAGGTTCTGGGTTTGAGCCTGCCACTTTTGGACTCTCGCTTGTTGAGGTGTTCCAGCGAGTGTCTCTGTAGATCTTAGAAAACTATGTCTAGATTTAAGTCGTTGACGTGCTGGTTGATACCCAAACAGGAGATGAGCTGGAGATGTCTCTGCCTTGGTCCTTTCACTATTGGCTGCTACTTCCCGGCGGATGTCAGGTGGTGCAATACCGGCTAAGCAGTGTAATTTCTCCAGTGGTGTGGGGCGCAGACACCCTGTGATAATGCGGCATGTCTCATTAAGAGCCACATCTACTGTTTTAGTGTGGTGAGATGTGTTCCACACTGGGCATGCATCCTCAGCAGCAGAGTAGCACAGCGCAAGGGCAGATGTCTTCACTGTGTCTGGTTGTGATCCCCAGGTTGTGCCAGTCAGCTTTCGTATGTTATTGTTTCTAGCACCCAGTGACTTCCAGGTATTTGGGTGTGTTGCAATGCTCCAGTGGGATTCCTTCCCAGGTAATCCTCAGAGCTCGGGATGCTTGTCTGTTCTTAAGGTGAAAGGCGCATGTCTGTGTTTTAGATGGATTAGGGATCAGTTGGTTTTCCCTGTAATAGGCAGTAAGAGCACCTAGAGCTTCGGAGAGCTTCTTTTCAACCATCTCAAAGCTCCCTGCTTGAGTGGTAATGGCACGATCATCAGCATAGATGAAACTCTCTGTCCCTTCTGGCAGTGGCTGGTCATTTGTGTAGATGTTGAACATGGATGGAGCAAGCACGCTCCCCTGAGGCAGGCTGTTCTTCTGTTTCCGCCATCTGCTTCTCTGGCCCTGGAACTCAACAGAAATGCTCCTGTTTTGTTGCAGGTTTCCTATTGTATTATAGGAGTATATATATATTGGAGTCCCCAGTGGCGCAGGTGGTTAAAGCACTGAGCTGCTGAACTTGTTGACCGAAAGGTTGCAGGTTTGAATCCTGGAAGCGGCGTGAGCTCCTGTTGTCAGCCCCAGCTTCTGCCAACCTAGCAGTTCAAAAACATGCAAATGTGGGTAGATCAATAGGTACTGCTTCTGCGGGAAGGTAACAGTGCTCCATGCAGTCATGCTGGCCACATGATCTTGGAGTCAACTCTTCAGCTTAGAAATGGAGATGAGCACCAGAGTCAGACATGACTGCACTTAATGTCAGGAGTAAACCTTTACCTTTACCTTTAATGTATGTTTGTGCGCATTTTCCAAGATGGCCCCCACTTTCAGAGAGCACTGTAACAACCATCAATAATGGATTTGGCCCAAACTTGGCATCTAGACCCCCCATGACCAACACATAATCACCAGGAATCTAAGCTAGTGTAAAATCAAAGTGAAGTAACCATCTTGAGAATAGCAAGGGAGGGCGAAGATGATCCTGTCCATTGATATCACATGACTGGCAGCATGATGGTGCCAAAAACGAAGGGACACATCACCCTAAGGTATGTAGTGAGAACGTAGTGGGATGAGATAATCTTGGAGGTGGGGGTGGGGGAAAGTAAACTGGTGACAAATGTACCCAGCATCGTGTTATAGGGACTGTCATCAAAAGTGATGGTCCAACTGCATTGACAGCCTGTCAGTCTTGTGTGCTAAAATCCTTAGATGCACAAAACAAGATGCTTGTGAGCATTTGCTCAGCCCAGGAATTTGCTTCAGCACCTGAACTGGACCTTTCTTGTCCTTTCTTGTAAAAATCTATTCTTAGAACTCCTCTGACTAGTGCTCTTTATTCCAACATCCTGATTAAGACTGGATAAAAGGCTTTTTGCTATCAACATGGCTGACCTGAGAACCAACACCGTGTAATGGTGTGAGTATTGGACTCTGGAGACCAGGATTCACTTCCTTGCTCAGCCATGGAAACCCACTCATTAACCTTGGGTGAGCTATCCCGAGAAAATCTCATGATTTTGGGTCACCATAAGATGGAAATGGCTTGAAGGCACACAACAGCAACAACAACACTGATCAACCCATTCAGAGCTAAGCAGTTTACAAATATTTTCTAAATAAATAAATAACCAAAGGCAAATTGAACGTCAGACTTCTTTGCTGGCTTACATCTTAACACCCTAGAAACACTATTATCCATTTATTTATCAAATAGGAGAAATAAAGAATGGTTTAGATGTATTTACTTTTCATTGCACTACATTCCTTACTGATGATTTCATCTCTATTGCCTCTGTTTACAATGGTCAACCTTGCAGCTATCAAATCACAAACTTCAGCATAAATGGCAGCGGAAAAAAATGAAACAAGAAGCACAGTAGATTTCAGTCCAATGAGGCAATGAATCGGCTATGGGTTTTAGTCTAAACTTTGAAGCTGAATCCTATTTCCCAAACAGATTGAGCACTTTGGCTGCTCTTTTAAAGTCCAGACTAAATATATTTCTGTGCTGATATGCAAGTTCTAGCACTTGCTTCAAAAAGCAATCAAACAAGTCAAGTAGCAATAAAAGTAGCAAAGTGTCCCAAACTACAATTTACTTCTTTTACTGCCTGAAAGTAACATACCTGAAAGTGAACTTGGTACAAGAGTCATCTACAGAACCACTTCCCCATGTGCTGTCCAGAAGATGCCACCTTCCATCAAGATAAACAGAATTCCAGGCATGATCGCTTTCCCCATTAAATACCTTTCCTGGTCTGTAGCTGTACCCTTTGGAGAAGCCTGACAATTGTTTGCACTGTATCCCTGCAATGCTGAGAGGAAGAAAGATAGTCAGGACAAGGGCAAAGTGGTACATTAGCAAAATGCTATCAAGACCCTTCAGGACATTCACTCTTTTATTTAAAGGTGTCTCCCTATATCATTTTAAAACTAATTAATTAGTCTGTTAATTTACCATTGTCATAGCATACTGGGTTGTCTCGGTTAAACCCATAGCATACTGGGTTGTCTGCATTAAAAGTGGGGCACTAGTACTCACTGGGGTTTGGACTCTTTGTGGATACCAAAAACTCTGGCTGCTCAAGTTCCACTGTATACAAGAACATAGTAAAATGACCAGGATTTGATTCCCTACTCAACCATGGAAACATGCTGAGTGATCTTGGACAAGTCACATTCTTTCCACTCCAGAAATCCCATGATAGGGTCATCTTGGGATCACCTTAAGCTGGAATTGACTTGAAGGCACACAACAGCACAACATAAAGTACCTGCACATTTGTTCAAAGAGCGCTGCGTATCCAGCACAAACACTCTTTCCTGAACGAAGGACATCTGCTGGCGCACAAGACCTCTTGGCTTCATTATGGAACCCTTCCACATCATATGCTGGAGAGATGAAGACAAGTCTGAGATGTCACTATCCCAAAGAATGGAGAATGAAATAAAAATGGGGCTATGACAGCAGTGAATTGGGCTGGTTCTTGTGTTTATTCGTTTATTCATGTATCTAAACTTTCTGCTAGAAGCATCCTAAATTTAGCTAAAAACTGAGACTTCAAAACCAGATAGAAATATGGAGATCATCATCACCATCCATCCTGCCTTTATCACAAAATAGAGGCTTAAGGTAGTTTACAATTTAAAACAAGTAAACCAGCATGGTGCAGTGTTTTGAGTGTTGGAGTAGAAGCCTGGATATCAGGGTAGGAGACAATGGACAAATCTCACTCTCCCAGCCTCAGAAGAAGGGACTGGCAACCCTTCTCTGAATGAATCTTGGAAGAAAACTCCTTGATAGGTTTTCCTTAGAGTTGCCATAAGTTGGAAATTGTTACCTATATGATGGCACACCCATATCCAAATCGCTCTGACTTTCTCCAGATCACTCTGGGCTTTTTGGAGTAAGGCATTCACCAGGTTTTCCACACTGCTCCTGACATTCACCTGTTTGATGAAACAAACAGATTTGGAACATAAACATGAATAAGGAGGAGGCCACCCAAATCTTTACTTCCATGTAGATTCCATACAGGACCACAAGCTCATCTCAGTTTTAAATACAGAGGTGTCCTGAGTATTACTTCTTTAAAAGAATAATAATAGTAATAATAGTAATAATAATAATAATAATAATAATATACTTTATTTATATTCTGCCCTTCTCCCCTAGGAGACTTAGAGCAGATTACAATATTTGCATACATAGGCAAACATTCATTGCCTTTACAATCATAGACAATGAGACACACAAACACAAGCAAAGGCAGAGGCTTCTCCTTTCATTTCCAGCTTCAGGAGGCTGCACCCATCTCTGGCCCCATGGAGCAGCCCTTCCTCATTTTCAAGATGAGGAGCCTGCATTGTTACTTCCTGGCTTGTGTGGCCAGCAAGATTGCTTGGAGCGTCTCTTTGCATTTTCCCTGTCAAAGCGGTACCTATTTATTTATTCACATTTGCATGTTTTTAATTGCTAGGTTGGAAAGAGCTGTAGCTGACAGACAGGAGCTCAGCCCATCTTGTGGATTCAAACTGGCAACCTTTAGGTCAGCAGTTCAGCAGCATAAGGGTTTTAACCCATTGTGCCACCATGGCTAAAAGAGTTTTAAGAAAGACTTGTTTTGCTTGCTAACTTTGAGACCTGGAAGCATACATACAGAGTACAGAAATATGACTTATAGAATATAATGCAAAAGCTATGTGCATTAGAATATGCATTGTTTGTGGGAACAATGAAACAGGCTAATATGAGAGCTCTTATATTTCTGTGGTCATTGAGATAGGAGCAGTTTTGGCTGTTAATAAAATGTCCCAGCAGGAGCACTGGCTAATACGACGAGGATGTCAGTCAGTCAAAAAACTCCAATTGTGTGTGTGTGTGTGGTGGTGGTGGTGGTGGGGTGGGGGGGGGGGGGCTGGATTAATGTCATATCTGATATCCCTGTTTTGATTGGATAACATTAAATGTGCATTTTCAGCACTTTTGTTTTGATTTGACAACTGATAGACTAGAGGCTACAGAGAAAATAAAAGAAACCAAGAGGAGATATCAATCAGACCATTCTGCAGGCTGTAACTTATGAAAAGAACTGGAAAGCCATTAAAACTCTTTCTGAAACAGAGTATCACTATCAGAAGCTTTGCTAATTGAAGTCTGTTGGCATGTACCATAATAAAATGCAGCTTACCTTTGATGCATAGGCATCCAGACTCTTAAACCGTTCCACATCTATTGGCATTGATTTCAGGTTGGATTTATCCCATGGATAAACTAGAAAGAAACATAGAATCATAAAGTTGGAAGAGACCTCGTGGACCACCAGTCCATCCCCCTGCCCAGAAGCAGGAAAATCGCATTCAAAGCACCCCTGAGAGATGTACCTGTTCCATCTTACATACAATTTAACTTAAGAACAAGCCTACAGAACCTTTTTTGTAACTTGTGAACTGCCTGTATAAATAAAAGATCACAAAAGAGAACGGATATTTACCATAGTGGTCTTGTCTCCCAGACAATGTTGGTCGTTGTTCCCCATCATCTTGAAAACCTAGGGAATAGTGTTGTAGGGTTTGAACAATCAGAAAGCAGAAATAGGAAATCCTATGACAATAGGCTCATATAAGTGTTAGCAGGGGTAAACTACAAGGAGTCCATGGGGTTTACACCCTTTGCCCATTTTTGCAGCTCCTGCTCTTCTGTTGCTCGCCCTTGTCTTGCAGTTTTGCCACCAAATCTTAATGGTGAGTTAATGGTAAAGCTCCCTGTTCTTTTAATTTAAGATGAGTTGCTTGGGGAATACCCCACTTCTTTTTAAGAAGGAAAGAGCCCTCAGATTTGTAATCAGTAATAATGCATTCAATCAGTACTTTTGTAACAGCCCTTCCTTGTTCAAATCCAGTGCCATATGAAGGCCTTACCTTTATTAACCTGTCCTATCTGATCAGGAAATACCTGCTTTCCTAGAAGAACCACAGAAAGGAAATCTGGTTAAGAATGAAGTGTACATATTCATTCTTATGCTCATAAATACAAAGGTGATTTACATTTATGAATCATTTCACAGAGAACATGCATATTTTATACATTAAAAAACAAAGTCCATCAAAGGTGAATACGGAAACATGAATTGATATGGGTGCATTGACATTGTAGAACGAATACAGTTGCATACTACTGTTGTCAAATACAGACCTACCCCAGGTCAAAATATATTAATTCTCTCACTTGAGCCGTGGCGAGGACAAGGTGCGACTGGTAAGAGGCCTTTTAATTCTGAAAGTCCATGTTTGCAGATGATCAGTGGTCTGGAGGAGCCCAGCAGCAGCTACCAGTGCCCAGGATACTTTTTGATACTTTTTACAACAACTTTTCAGTGGGTTGTAGGTTTTTTAGGCTGTATGGATGTATTCTAGAAGCATTTTCTCCTGACATTTCACCTGCATCTATGGCAGGCATCCTCAGGGGTTGTGAGGTCTGTTGGAAACTAGGAAAAACTTTTCAGGGACCTTTTGCCAGTGTCACTGATCACAATCTTTTCAGTGACCTTTTGCCAGCACTCCATGCCTCGGGAAGTCCACCCAGCTGTCTTCCTGGGCATTATTTCCATAAGAAGGACTCAATTATGCATCATCTTTGGGCCAGTCCATCACTACTGGCCCCATAGACTCCAGCTTTGTAAAGGACAACAAGATCCAGGGTATGGGTCATGTTGGCATAATGAAAATCATGCGTAGTTCACATTTTATCAGTCCACACACTGTCTTGCCAGAGAAAGAAATTACGCCATGCACATGATAAGTAAAGAACAAGTAGTTTACTTTTTGTAATGCAGAGCAACATATGTTCAACTCATGTGAACAGAAGTATTGACTTACACAATGTCCTTTGAGATAGATATAAATGGTCTTTCAGTGTCCACGTGGAAAATCTCTTTTCAGCAGCTTATGAAGCAAAAACACTAACTGTCTCTCTCTGAGAGCACCTGCACAACTCGTCTAAAAATGAAACTGTTACCAACACTCCCAGGCTCAGCTAGCTCTCTGGGTGTGGCCCAACCAATCAGCAGCTTCAGGTTTTGCTATCCACAGCCCGGATCTCACTATTCATAGTTGCTTTAAATTGCTCTATTTCACCACTTTGATGACCATTCTATGGGATTCTGGGATTTGTAGTTTTGTGAGGTCACAGTGCTAAAGGCCTTGTAAAGCTTGATCTCCCAAGATCTCCCAAGATCAGATAATATAGAGCTATGACAGTTAAAGTGATGTCAAACTGCATTGATTCTACAATGTAGATGCACCCTATAACTTTGTCATGACTACCCTGAGCCCACAAACATGTTGTTTCAGGAAAATTAATTAATTTCCGGACATATGAACAACCTACCTTTTCTGATGGATGACTTCTTTCGCGTATGTGGTGTGGGATACTTAGGAAGTATGTCAATACTGACATGATCTGAAGCAGAGAAAACAACCAACATCACCAAAACAGCTAAGTGGAATGCAGAAAGCGAGGCCAGAATGACTACACAGCAAAACATTTTTAAAAACTAGCAACAAAAGTGGAAGTGCCATATCTTTTAAATTTAAAAGCCCCAGTTACATTATTTTGAAATAATCTAGTAGTATTTGCATCTAGAGTTTTAGTATCCATAGGGAGTCTTTGAATTTATCTCTTGCATACATGAGGGTTGTACTATGCCTCCAGTTGTGTATGTAGTACTGATATATCATTCAGCTCACTGTGGCCTCTTGTACACTTCCCTACAATCCAGTTTTCAACCCCAGATTATCTGCTTTGAACTGAATTATATGGCAGTGTACACTCATATACTCTAGTTCAAAGCAGATAATCTGGGATCAGATACTGGATTATATGGAAGTGTAGATCCAGCCTGTATGATTCCTAATAAAATGTGTCTAATTCAGGAAATGTAAACAAAAACTTGCTGGGGGCAGAAAGGACATTGACAAAGCAAGGCAGGAGAAAAGATGGTCTTCACAATCTCATGGACACCCTACCTTGATTTGGCTGAAAGGTAACAACTGGTGGCTGTGCATCGTTCTGTGTTTCCACTTCCTGGCCTGTTCAAAGTAAGAAAGGAGCAACTCAGAGACTGGAAAGTGAGAGAGTTTGAAGTTAGGAAGTTAGGAGTTTGATCTATTTATTTATTGTGTCAGAAGTGAATTGAAAATGCTGATACGATGTACAGTATTTAAAAGCCACAAACAAAGTTAAAAACTTGGCGTTATGCTACATTTTCTTTGACCAGAAGCTGATGAGGGACAACGGGAGCCCCCTGCCTCCAAGATGATCTGACATGCAGCAGGGAGTTCCGCAGCTCCTGGATGTACAATTGGGCCAGCATCGCTGGGAATGTGGCCACAGCAGCAGCTTCAAAAAGAGACTCTTTTTCTGCCTTGCTTTCTTCCCCTTGCCCTAACATTGTAATACATCGCCCAATAAAGTATCTTTTAATTGTAACTTTTTCCTCTCCATAGTGATACATTGTGTCCTTTACTGCTTCTAATTCTCTCCAGCATGAACTTTCCCTCTCCTGAGCTGCTGATTACTGTTGGCTCGCTTGGGATGCGTTTTCAGCCTCCTGGGGAGGCCGAAACTGCATTCCCCTGAACCGTGGGTATGGAGACCCATGGGGCCCCTGTATCCACGGGTCAACGGATCATTTCCAAACTGGTGCCATTCTTTTCCTAGACTAATTCTAACTGCTATCTCACTTTTTTGCATTACGGACCCCTCCGCTCTGGGAATAACTCTTTTCACCCCAAAACTTCACGTGGAGACCAGCTGATTGAGCTCCATGACTCCTTGCTGCAACATCATTCCTGCCGCCGTCTTGTTGATGTCCAGAAGCCTGTTGACCCGGGGAACCTGATGCGGTCATCCCTTGGGATCTCCGGGAAGTGCAGGCCACCCTGGCCCCTCGATGAGATGGGATCTATAGCCCCCCCTCCCAATAAATGGACCTTGATCCTCAGCGCCCTGCAGTAATCCCAGTATGAACTCTTTGGACTCTTAAGAACATTTCCCTTTCAATCCATGAACTTTGGACTCTTATTAAACCTTTGCCCACTTTGGAGATCTTTTAAAACTTTTTGGAAACTTTTTCCTTCAACCCCCCCATGGACTCTTGCTGTGATTTATGAACTGTCAATGGACTCTGGTGGGTGGGATGGACTGATATGATTTTTTCTCCCCTCTATATGAATGTATCCCCTTTGGTCCCCCTGCATGCCTCCCTTTTCCCCATATCTTTATATAAAATATAAATTATGAAATGCCACCTCTTAGTGAACCCTGCACCTTTCCTGAAGCCCACTAAATACCCTGACAAAAGGACTCAACAGAAACTCTTGCATGGACAATAAGACAATGGGCATAATCCTTCAGACCTCAGAGTAACCCAAGTTAGCCCATCTGAAGGATGTGCCCCTTGGCAGATTTAATCACTTCTCACAAAAGGTGACATCTCATCTGCGGAGGATTTAGATGTCGCTACAGCTTCTTTCAATAACTTTGATTACTGTCTTTTATACTTTTTGACTTGAATAGTAAGTATATTTTATAGCTTACGTAGCCTTTGTTAGTACAACAAACATATTTATTGATTGATAGTTAGGACTTCATGTGTGATTCATCAAAATCTCATGGAAGAACCCGCGACACTTGAAAACTAGGGAAGCTGCAGGGCAGAAAGGTGTATTTCAGAAATGTAGCTTTTTTGTGTGTGTAAAAGTGCTGATTATTGAACTTTAGATTAAAAATGTACAGTTCTGCCATGGGACAATCTCTTTCTAATTAACATACATATTCAAGTATAAGCCGACCAGAATATAAGCCGAGGCACCTAATTTTACCACAAAAAACTGGGGAAACATATCAACTCGAGTATAAGCCGAGGGTGGGAAAGGCAGCAGCAACTGGTAAATTTCAAAATAAAAACAGATATCAGTAGAATTACATTAATGAGGCATCAGTAGGTTAAATATTTTTTAATATTTGCATAAAACTCTAATTTAAGATAAGACTGTCCAACTCTGATTAAACCATTATTCTAACCTTCTTCAATGTAAATATGCTTACGTATCCTTTCAATAATAATAGAGAGTAAAATGTAATTTTTCTTCAGTATAAATATGCTTCCAATAATTATAGAGTAAAACAATAAATGTAATATTATAATAATAATACAGAAAAATTAATAGAAATGTAATAATAATAGAGTAAAATAATAAATGTTAAAAAATAATAGAGTAAACTAATGTAAATGTAATAATAATGATAATAATAATAATAAATAGAATAAAAATGTACATGTAATAAAAATAATAATAACAGAGTAAAATAATAAATAACCTTGATTCAAGTATAAGCTGAGGGGGGCTTTTTCAGCCTAAAAGGGGGGCTGAAAAACTCAGCTTATACTCAAGTATATACTGTCAATTATGGAACATGCATAATTGACTTGATAAGACTACTTTCAGGTGGAACACATCAGAGATTATTAAATGTTCCTGTCAATCAATCTGTCACTATTAATTCCATTCATGACTGCTAATGAAATTAATAGAGACAGATGGATTAACAATAAAGTAAGTTAAAGTATTTAATGGTTCTCTAAAGGGCACCATCAGTAAAGATTTAGGGCAATATGCAGGGCCATAATTGCGAACTTGCTACAACAATCACAGTGAACAACTGGCTTAAAAATGACAATTTTCTTTGTGGAAAATTTTACTATTCAGGAAACACATTGCTTACCTGTGAATCTGGACTGCCTGACTGCTGTTTCTTGAATCCTCCCTTCTTCTACTTGAGTTGCTAGAAAAATAAACTACCATTATCAACTGGAGGAGACTCATGTTGCCTGTCAGGCACCATATCCTCCAACATTTCATTGATGAAGACCAGGACACATGTGGCCAATGTGGCCAACAACATCACAGATCGAAATTTTTTCAATGAGGATGAATGCACAAGTTTGGAGAGGCTGCAGCACTGAGAAAAGCAAAATCCCCCCTTCCTCTCCTCTTGCCAAGTTAACCAAGTTAACTAAGACCCCTTCCAGATAGGCCCTATATCTGATCCTAGATTATCTGCTTTAAACTGGATTATTTGAATCCCCACTGCCAGATAACCTGGGATGAACAGATAATCTGGGATCAGATCCTGGGATATGAGACAGTGTGGAAGGCGCCTTAGAGCAAATGACATTTGCACTTTGAATTTCCCGGTAGTTTGCATCATCCTATTTTGAGATATAAATTCAATAATTAAATTATTAAATAAATTAAATAATTAAATTAATAAAACCAATTTAAGTAAACTGAGGTCAAAGAGGGAAGGTGGGGGGAGAGGAGAATAACTAGAACATTTTGAAAGCAGAGCAAAAAAGTGAGACACCAAAGGATTAATAGGGATTACTCCAGCCAAATTAAGACCGGAAGGGATGTGATAAATCCACACCCCATATTAGTGATAGCAACTCCAGAAGAAAGGGAAATTTAAATTGGAGCAATGGCATATGGGTGGTAATTCCTCCAAATACCCACTGTCTTCACAACTTTTAGATTACAATGTCTCTGCTGTCCAGGGATTCTGGAACTCATTGCTCAAAAGTTGTTTTTTCTACGTTCTGAAGTGGTGAAAGCAGCTTCAGCAAAAGGGAGAAATCATATTGGAGCAATGGCATATGGAAGTTAATTCCTGCATCTTCACATCTCAAATGTATTTGGGAGATCCCATAGCGACTTTCCTATAAAAGGAAAATTACACTTGCAGAAGTTGTTGTCTGCCACTAGAGGGTAACATGATAGGCACCATTGCTGTGTTGTTCTTGCATTATGCCATCTTTATAGTTGCATCTACCCTTGATGCCAGTCCTGCAGATCCCAGGGACTACTGTATATCATTTTTCTCTTTGTGTGTGTATTTTAATCTGTCAACCAGATAAACATTCAGAGGAAACAGAGTTTAGGCCCTATCTACACTGCCATATACTGCAGTTTCGTAATGCAGTTCCACTGCCATGTAGAATCATAGAATCATCGAGTTGAAAGAGATCTTGTGGATCATCCAGTCCAACCCCCTGCCAAGAAGTAGGAAAATTGCGTTCAAATCACCCCTGACAGATGGCCATCCAGCCTCTGTTTAAAAGCTTCCAAAGAAGGACCTCCACCACACTCTGGGGCAGAGAGTTCCACTGCTGAACAGCTCTCACAGTCAGAAAGTTCTTCCTCATGTTCAGGTGGAATCTCCTTTCCTGTAGTTTGAAGCCATTGTTCCATGTCCTAATCTCCAGGGCAGCAGAAAAAAGGCCTGCTCCCTATGACTTCCCCACACATATTTATACATGGCTATCATGTCTCCTCTCAGCCTCTCTTCTTCAGGCTAAACATGCCCAGCTCTTTAAACCACTCCTCATAGGGCTTGTTCACCAGACACTGGATCATTTTAGTTGCCCTCCTCTAGACACATTCCACCTTGTCAATATCTTCAATTGTACACAGTATTCCAGTTGTGGTCTAACCATGTAATGCAGTTTGATCCAATTAAATGGCATTCTGAATCTGCATTATATAGCAGTGTAGATGGGGTCACAGTCTGAGGCCCTGGAGTGAAGAAAAAATATTGTTATCACCTGCTAAGTTGTAACCTTCTCTGTGGATAGAATTTCAAACAAATCAACTTTCTGGCTATTGCACCAAATATTAACTCCAAGGGAGTCCAATAGGCAAATCTAATTAATTGCACAGTAAAGAGGGCGGAAGAATGTGAGAGGAAACATGATTCCAATTGTCCCATATACAACAGAATATATATATATGAAAAAAAATATTGTGTTGATATTTCCTTACCAGCACTATTTGATGTCCCTTCATCTTCTTCACTCTTTGTAAAGCCTATGGATATAGAATAGGGATTACAAACTCAGATACAGAGAGCTGAACTAGTATTAATGCTAATGCCGGGTTAGTGCTAACTAAGGGCCCTTCCACACAGCCCGATATCGCAGAATATCAAGGCAGAAAATCCCACATTATCTGAGTGCAGACTCAGATAACCCAGTTCAAAGCAGATATTGTGAGATTTTCTTCTTTGATATTCTGGAATATAGGGCTGTGTGGAAGGGCCCTAATGCTTCAAAATACTTCCCCCACTTTTTATAAGCGGTATCTATTTATCTACTCACATTTGCTTTCGAACTACTGGGTAGGCAGAAGGCGAGCTAACAGCCAGGAGCTCACCCTGACCTGGCTTTGAACTGGCAGCCTTTCAGCTGACAAGATTGACTACACCTGGTGGTTTAATGTGCTGTGCTAAAGCTGATTCATGCCACTTCTTCAAGTCCAGTATGGCACAACTAAGGGTATTGACATACATTTTAAGCTACTTCGAATCTTGTGCTGTGATCATCCCGTAATATGTAGTAAACAAACAACTATTTAGGGCACCAGCCTTCTGTAACATGGATGCAAATCATTTCAAAATGAGGCTTTAATATATATGAAAGTTAATTGCCACTTTCTACTCACATATGTAACAGAGGTAGAATGGAAGAATTGGGAAGCAGAAGATGGCGAGTAGGATCTTCTGAGTGCGAGATAAATCATCATGAAAAGCCATTCCTCCTCCTGTAAATCAAATGACTGGTTATATCATTTAGTACAGGTATGGGCAACCTTGGGCCCTTCAAGTGTTTTGGATTTCAACTCCCACCATTCCTAACAGCCTCAGGCTCTTTCCCACCATTCCTAACAGCCTCAGGCCTGAGGCTGTTAGGAATGGTGGGAGTTGAAGTCCAAAACACCTGGAGGGCCCAAGTTTGCCCATGCCTGATTTATCACACAGATAAACAAATAATTTATAAATGTCATGGCACTTAATGGGTCCCATATGGGTGAAAAGCAGAACAGAAATGAATGAATGAATGAACTAAAGAAAGTCATGCAAAAGTTTGGTGTTTTCCAAAAACTCTGGAATAGCCTCAAGTGTTTTTGATGTGTGCATAGCTGGATCAGGTCCAATTTGGCCCTATCAGGCTTTTTTTTGCTGCCGCATGACATTGTTGGCTCATGCAGCCAGGAAGTTCTTCCCAATATTCAGGAGGCATGGAATCCCCTTTTCTGTAATTTGCACCCACTGCTCTATGTTGTAGTCTCTGAGACAGCAGAAAGCAAGCCTGCTCCCTCTTCCTCATGACAGCTTTTCAAATATGTAAATAACACTGAACAAGGATCCCATAGCACTGCGCCATGGCAATTCAAGATATGTCAAACTGCTTCAACTCTACAGTGTAGATGAACCCCAAGTCTTCCCAGCTCTCATGGAAGGATACACTTTGTGCTGGTACAGCTGTACCAGGAGCTCCAATTCTGTTTGCTTTGCATTAAATGTTTGCTTGCAATCCCAGGCTTGGGATTTTGCAGCAGGGTGGCTTCCTGTTATAGTTTGCAATCATAGAGCAAGCCACCTGTCAGTTATAGTTAGGTTCCCTGGTGCCGCCCCTTTTTGAGTTTTGGAGGGAATAGGAGCCTTTTTGAGTCAGTCCACATAGAGAAGCCTTTTGCACAGGACATAAAACGATGAGCTCCTGTAGAAAGCTTCGTCTTCTACGGCTTGGCCGGGGAGATATACAGCCTACAGCCTGACTGGAGTTATACAGCCTTACAGCTCTTCGCTGAGGGACTTCAGTCAGCCACCATGGAAGCCTGAATCCTTTTCCCCTGGAAGTCTACAAAGCTCTGCTTGGCAAGGGTCGCTTGTGGAAGCCAGACGCAGTTGGTACCGGGTGCAGGGGCTCCACGCCAACGGAGGCAAGTACAGACTGCCCAGATTGGAAGTTAAGGATTTCCCCATTAGTTATTATATAGTTATGAAGATAGTGCCTGTTCCCAGTGAACAAGATTGCAAGAGCCAATAGACTGTTAAGGATGCTTTAAATTACCTGTTTGTTTTCATCAATAAAGAACTTTGTTGGACTTACTTTAAGCCTCTACAGAACTTTGTTTTGGGGAGGTCCAAGGGCCTTTAATCTGAGGCAGCCCCGGCATCCTGTTGGGCACAGAGAATTTATGTCCTGTCTACAGTCTAATGCACAGACCCAGCGTGCGACAGCACACACTTAGATACAAACAGGAGACTGACCTGTTTTGCTCCAGCATCCAGTGATTATAAGAGCACAGAACTATCTATTGTTTTCTAAAACAATTCTTCCTAGGATCCACCCCAAATGAGCTTCTGCTGCTTGCTAACTCTCCTGGGTTTCCCTTTTACAAAGTACTCTGTTGCTATTACCGACACATTCTTTCATTTAGCTTGGCAAACATGGCTTCTGTCAAAAAAAACAATAACTGAAGAGAAGGCACTGGTTACCTTTGTGATTTCTTGAACGTCCGAGCAGGTGATGTCCAGGTGATTATTCCCCTTGGATAAAAAGATGGTGAAAAAGGGAAAATTGATCTCCAAGGCACATTGAACGAAGAAACAAGTGCTTTATTTCCTTGTTGGGAATCAGCTGAACTTTGTCTCTATAACGATGCGTACACAAGCGATAATGATGTGTAGAAGTTGTGCAGGGAGAACGTATTTATGTAGCCAGGTGTGTCAGTGACTAATAGCCTAGATTCTCATGTATCCCCTTTTAAAACAGGAATATTTACTTTTTATCAAGGGCATAGTGGTAGAAATACTTTTTCTGAAGCTGGGTCTATACTGCGCTGGATTCCAGGATCTGATCCCAGATTACCTGCTTATTCCAGATTATCTGGCAGTGTAGACTCATATAATCCAGTTCAAAGCAGATAATCTGGGATGAGATCCAGCCTGACAGGTATGGCAGCACAGATAGGATTTAAAAATGAAGTCAGAGCTGAGTACATCCTACAATCCACATGCTACTATTCTTTACCATCTTAGTTCCAGTCTAACCCAGTTTAGGTCATAGGAAAAGAATTATCTGATATCTAAATGCATGTGGGCTGGGTCTCAAAAGTTTGGAAATTACTGTCTGGGTATTTTAAGAGTTGGAGTCAAAAAGTAATTGTTTGCATATTTCTCTGAGCAAGAGAAAAGATGCACCCATCTTACCAAATTACATTTCACAGACAGTCTCACCAAGCATAGGCATTGACTTAGGGTGCATCTACATTGTGTAATTAATACAGCTTTGATGCCACTTTAACTGCCGTGGCTCAATGCAATACAATAATGTGAGTTTTAGTTTTGCAAGGCCTTTTACCTTCTCTGCCAAGAGTACTGATGTCTCACTGGTCATTGAAAGGGAGGGAGGGAGACAGCAAGACACAGCTCCATTGTTTTTCCCTTAGAATGGTCCAAGGAAATCCTTAGCAGCGGAACAGGCAGATGATAACATGGTGCATATTACAATCACTGTGAAAGTGGATGAAGGTTGCAACAGATAAAAGGCAACCAATCATTGTGGTGACCACACTCAATATATGCCATTGGATTGTGTGTTGGTCACTGCGAAGATTTGTGTTGGTTGCTGTGCGCTGATCCCCACACAAATTCATGCACAGATGTCTTCCAAGCAAAGCAGAACCAACAAAAGTCCCATGGCAATCAGTGAGAGTTAATGGAGGCAAAACTGTTAAATCTGCAAGACCTTAGCCATTGACCTGCACAGTGGATATGGATTCAGTCCCTCTAACTCACCACCAAGATAAGTATAGTCAAGTATAATGCTATTTGGAAGACCATTGTACTTGACCATGAGTGGAGAGATGGCTGTCAAAGTAGCAGAAATGTCAACATTTTCTAATGTTACACCATTAAGCTGTATTTCTGGCATTGCAGGGGGATTGGCTGGTGCTGCTGAAGAAGCACTTTGGTTTTCTCGATGGTCAGTGAAGCTTCTTGTATCCTTCTGCAAAGATGTTTAGAGTGGATTGTAGGTCTTCTGAATGCACACAGACTAGTCAACATTGACATTGAAATACAATACCACCTGAGCTCTGCAAGTGCAGCACTTTTCAAAATGAAGCACAGAGTGTTTGAGGTTTGGGACATCCATAGGGATACCAAGGTGAATATTTATAAAGCTATTGTCCTCCAAACCCTATTATATGCCTACGAAATGTGGACTGTCTACAGACATCACATTCAAGTCTGGAATGATTTTATCAGTGTTGCCTCCAAAAAATCCTGCAAATCTCTTGGGAAGACAGGTAGACAAGTGGCAATGTGCTGGAAGAAGCAAAGACCATCAGCATTGAAGGGATGCTCCTACACCATCAACACTGAACTGGCCACATTGTCCGAATGCCAAATCACCATCTCCTAAAGCAGTTACTATACTCCCAACTCAAGAGTCGAAAATGGAATGTTGGAGGGCAAGAAAAGATTTAAAGATGGGCTTAAAGCTAACCTTAAAAACTGTGGCATAAACGCCAAGAAATGGGAAGCCCTGGTGCTTGAGCACTCTAACTGGAGGTCAGCTGCAAGCATCAGTGCTGTGGAATTTGAAGAGGCACGAATGGAGAGCGAAAGGGAGAAATGTGCCAAGAGGAAGGCGCATCAAGGCAACCCTGACTGGGACTGCTTTCCACCTGGAAACCGATGACCTCACTGCAGGACAACATGCAAGAATAGGGCTCTATAGTCACCTATGTAGCCACCACCAAGACACTAACTTGGAAGGCCATCGTACTCAGACGAGGGATTCCCTAAGTAAGTAAATAAGTAAGTTGACTATGAGTGATCTCCTATGATGATGCATCACAAAACTACAACTCTTGCAATACCATAGCAGTGAGCTTTGGTGTTAAACTGATGTCAAAGTGCATTAATTCTACAGTATAGATGTATCCGTAGAAAATCCTAATTGGATAAATTGAAGTTAGTTGATAATAAGAGGAGGAAAATGGAAGGAGAAAGGAACTGCGACAATTGAAAAGTGATTAGACAACAAAATTAATCATGGCAGTCCCTGGGAAATTGGAACAGCTGGAAGGTATGCCCACGTGCTTTCTGCATTCATATGTAGCAACAGTTCCCCATGTCACTGCTATTGTACAAAGAGATCCAAACCAGGCTGAATTCCACCTTCTGTACAGTATGGTAGCCAGAGATTGTACAATGGATGTAATTTATAAAGCACTTGCAATCCCACCAATAGTATAAGGAATCAAAGAAAGTCTAAATTTCAAAAGCCCTGCCAAGGCAATGTTCTAAAAATGAGATGGATCGAAACCAGGCAAACTCAGGATTAATACAGACTGTCTGAGAGCTGAACAGCATCAGGTGTCGATACCTAAGTGGACTTGTGCCCTTTTTAAGAATTAGTGCTCCGGTACTGAAGTTATAAATAGACACCACACCCTAGCACTCACACTATAAAGGTCCAAAGGACAGTCAAGTTATTTACATATCACTGTGATACTTCACTAGTAAATCTTACTATTCTGCTGTGGTGCTTCCAAAAGAGTGAGGTGTTGTGTTTTGTCATAACCTAAGTACAAGTGTCCAGGTTGCGGCTTCCCCCAAAGCCCGAGGTAAGTTTTAAATTCTTTTCCCAAATTGCTACTTTCTCATCATGGTCAGAGGAAGCCCAGTGACCAGTGGTGATGGAAACTGTAGTCCAATCACAACTAGATGGCCCCATCTCTGGACATTGTGATGCTTCTGATAAGTCTTTGTTTTACAATTTGCTGCATAGTATAGTTTTATTATTCCTTCCCTCCCTCTCTGTGTGTACACATATATTTTACACTGTACACCTTTGGCGGTGCCCACTATTTTTGGTTGTTTTCCTTATAAAGTGTAAAGTGTTTCTATGGCACTATATAAATAAAGAGCAATGGGTCAACTAGAATTATAGAATCATAGAGTTGGAAGAGACCTCATGGGCCATCCAGTCCAACCCCCTGCCAAGAAGCAGGAATATTGCATTCAAAGCACCCCTGACAGATGGCCATCCTAGATACCGTGGATGGTTCTGCAAGTCAGTTGACCAAGGCCTCAATTCGGAATAGGTCAAGACTGGATGAAATATCAGGTTAGAGTGGCCTTGGAAAAAGAAAGATGGAAAAACAAAAAAGTGCACCCTTAAAGAGATTTGGGAAGAAGATTTAGGGATAAAAATAAGCGAAATAGAGTGGCAACAATTATGGGGACAAAGACATTTAAAAATTTATCGATACGAGTTAAAGAAAATTATTACAAGTTAATATGGAAGTGGTACTTGACACCGGTAAGAATAGCATATATGAATAAAAATAACTCAATAAATTGTTGGAGAGGGTGTCAAGAACCAGGAACATATATACACATGTGGTGGCAATGTAAATATGTAAATAATTTTTGGGAGAAAGTATTTAGAGAAATAGAGGTTATAATTAAAATTAAATAAAAGTCCTAGTATAGCATTACTATCACTATATAACGATAAGCAATTGAAAAAGGAGGATAAAGAAGCGATAACAAACTTACTAACTATAGCAAGACTGCTTATAGCAAGGAATTGGAAAAAAGAAATGAATATACAAATAGAGGAGTGGTATAAAGAAGCATGGAAAATAGCAATAAACGATAAATTGACATGTATATTAAAGGTTAAAAAAGGTATATGGAAACAAAGCGATTTTGATGCTGTATGGGGAAGATTTGTGGTAAATGGATTAAAAAATAAGGAAGGAAAATTACCGTCACATGAAATTTTGGGATAGGGGGATGGGGTGCGGATGGAAGGGGGGGGAGATAGACATAATGAATGTATTGTATACGAGGGAGATGAAGTGGTAAGACATCAGGGTTAGCTGTGGAAATGGAGTGTAGGGGGTCGAGTGTTTGAGCCACGTTGTGATAGTGAGGGGTGGGATAAAGATGGGTGTGAGAGAACAAATTAAAGAAAAGGCACAGGGGTTAAAGTTTTTAGAGCGTGAAAAACACCTAATAACGCGCGCTAGTTACAGATGATGTAACAATAAATTTGTGTGTAGCTGTGGGTGATTAGAAATCATAAAAATTTTGGCCTGCATTAAAAGGAGTATAGTGTCTAGATCCAGGGAAGTCATGCTACCCCTCTCTTCTGCCTTGGTCAAACCACACCTGGAATATTGTGTCCAATTCTGGGCACCACAAATGAAGAGAGATATTGACAAGCTGGAATGTGTCCAGAGGAGGGTGACTAAAATGATCGGTCTGGAGAACAAGCCCTATGAGGAGCGGCTTAAAGAGCTGGGCATGTTTAGCCTGAAGAAGAGAAGGCTGAGAGGAGACATGATAGCCATGTATAAATATGTGAGAGGAAGTCATAGGGAGGAGGGAGCAAGCTTGTTTTCTGCTGCCCTGGAGACTAGGACGCGGAACAATGGCTTCAAACTACAAGAAAGGAGATTCCATCTGAACATTAGGATGAACTTCCTGACTGTGAGACCCGTTCAGCAGTGGAACTCTCTGCCCTGGAGTGTGGTGAACGCTCCTTCTTTGCAAGCTTTTAAACAGAGGCTGGATGGCCATCTGTCAGGCAGGGTAGACTCAGGCCTCTTCTCTTTGCCATATAATCCAGATTTTCAAAGCAGATAATCTACATTATCTGATTTGAACTGGACTATATCATTCTACATCGCCATATAATCCAGTTAAAAGCAGATAATCTGGATTTTATATGGCAGTGTAGAAGGGGTCTCAAATAATTCATGCAGTTAAGAAGCATTTTGAAGCTGCATTATACAGCAGTGTAGATGGAGGTCTTGAACAGGTTGCCCACTTGCCCAAAGACCACATTTGATCCACATCTATGACAAAGGCAATTATAAAAAGGGATTTTAAACCAAGCTAAAACTGCAATCTTATGGTCCTCAGAGAGTTATAGGAAAACCTATAGCCTTGTACACTTTTCATGGGCTCACCATACACCTATGTGCCAGCTACTCTTTTGCCCAATGGGACTTTGCATAAGCCGAAAGACAGTTGCATCTGTCAAGTAGGAAATTTAGGTATTGCTTATGCGGGGAGGCTAATTTAACTAATTTACGATGCCATAAAATCTCCAGCAAGCAAGCAAGCAAGCAAAGAATGAGGAAGTACTCCATCAGTGTGTCAAATGGACGGTGAAGCGACAGCTCCCCGGGTGGCCAGAATACCTTCATGAAAGTTGGAAAGTTAAATAGCCTCTGTGTGTCTGTCTATATATGTTGTGTGTCTTTGGCATTGAATGTTTGCCATGTATATGTACACTGTAATCCACCCTGAGTCCCCTGCAGGGTGAGAAGGGCAGAATATAAATACTGTAAATAAATAAATAAATAAATAAATAAATAAATAAATAAATAAGTTTGTTAGTATGTTAATTTGTTGCTTTGTACTGTAAAGGGTTCTAAATGACATGGGAGACCCAGGTCAAACTTGTTACACATACCTTTCATTGTCCAACTTAAAATAATTGAGGAACTTAAAGTAAAAAAACCCCACCCTTTCAGGCCCAGAGCAGAGGGAAAGAAAAGGAACAAAGCAGATTGGCTGTAGCTAGGTGAAGTGGCCCTCTGTGATGTCACTGGGAAAGGGAGAGTGAAGAAGTTTGGCTGTTGTGAATGAGGGAAAGCAAGGGAAGAAGAAAAGAAAAGACTGGGAAAAAGGTATATGAGGGAAATAGAGGAAGGAAAGAAAGCCACAAAGAGAGCCTGAGGTCGGCCTTCTCAGAGCTGGAGAAGGGAGAAAGTAGGTGGGCAGAGATCCTAATGACACTTGGGCAATGCTGGGTCAATACCAGGCATGGGCAAACTTTGGCCCTCTGTTGGACTTCTACTACCACAATTCCTAACGGCCTGAAATCCAAAACACCTGGAGGGCCAAAGTTTGCCCGTGCCTGGCCTATTTGCTACTGAACCAATCAACAGGAAGTGTCCACTTGCTTCCTATGAGTCAACCAGCAAGTCCAGCAGAAACCTGACTTTGGAAGAGGAGGAGCGGGGCGCATTCTCAGCAACAGATGATACCAGACCACATGTTTTGTACAATTATATCAATTAAATATGACAACATCATACAACATATAGTCCTATTACATTGCAATGATATTTCTATTAATTGTGGGCTTTCTTAAAGAAAAGTCCATAGCCCATGCATTTCAGATACCATTAAATAAATCAGAGTGCTTAAGGAATTGGACAATAGTCTTTGCAAAAAGATTTAAAAAGTCCAGATAACAGCACTCCACCAGACAATTTGAGATTCCTTATTTGTTCTCTGTTTTGTCATGGAACACTTATTATCTATGCAATTTAAGGAGGCAAATACTGTATTTTAGTCATTGCTAAGGCGAAGTGTAAGTAATACAGTCAGCCCCCCACATTCCCTGCTATTTGAGGTGCAGGATCCCCATGAAAGTAGAAAAAATGGAGAGGTTACTCTCAAGAAATCTCAAAGTCTTCTAGTCAAACTCTATGGACAACACACTCTGGAAGTTGACCATACAGATTTTCTGAAGGACTTTGAGGTTCTAGAGAAGTGGTTTTCCCAGGAATCTCTAGATCCTCCAACACAACACTATGGTCAACTTCTGAAGGAAGGTGACCACACAGAGTCACACCAGAATCTTCTAGACCACTGCTTCTTAACCTTCCTAATGTCACGACCCCTTAATACAGTTCCTCATGTTGTGGTGACCCCCAACCATAACATTATTTTCGTTGCTACTTCATAACTGTAATTTTGCTACTGTTATGAATTGTAACGTAAATATCTGATATGCAGGATGTATTTTCATTCACTGGACCAAATTTGGCACAAATAACGGATACAGTACACCCAAATTTGAATACTGGTGGAGTTGGAGGGCGGATTGATTTTGTCATTTGGGAGTTGTACGGTTGGTACAAGAGAGATGGCCTTCTCGGTAGTGGCCTTCCACCTCTGGAACGCCTTTCCTGGAGAAATAAGACAGGCCCCATCCCTCCCCTCCTTTCCTAAGAGCCTGAAGACCTGGTGGTTTAAACAAACCTTTGAGAACGACTAATTCTAGCTCTGCCCCAGATACTGTTGAAATTGGCCATATCTTTTTTTACCAATTACCCAGGTCCCTTTCTTCTATTAGGCCCTGGAAATGTACAGCCATAGACTCTACCTTATTTCCTGGGCCCTCTAAAATTGCACTAACCCGGCCCAGCCTTTTAAACTGCCTTAAACAGGCAGAGTTATCTTAAATATATGTGCTATTGTGGTTTTTAATGCTTACATTGCCTTGTTAATTTTATGTTTATGCTGTTTTCTTTGTATGTATTGATTATGTTACTTGGAAACCTCTCTGAGTCCCCTTGGGGAGATAGAGCGGTATATAAATAAAGTGTTGTTGTTTGTTGGGATTTATAGTTCACGTACAATCAAAGAGCATTCTGAACTCCACTATGGATGGAATTGAACCAAACTTGACACACAGAACTCCCATGACCAATAGAAAACACTGGAAAGATTGGTGGGAATTGAGGTGTTAAACTAAAATTCCCAAAATGTGAGGTCTCTAACTTGCTTATCTAGATCCCCTTATCTGAAGGGCAGACAGCGTATGCATGCCATTTAACAAAATGCCATTTTGGGGGGGTCTAATAAAATTGAAACTAAATATATAAGAATGGTTAAGAAATCCTGTACTGTTTTTTGTGCTGATTTCAATGAAAATAATTTTAACATTGTGGATGCAAAATCTAGTCAAACAAGTTGACTCAAATTGTGCATCAAAATGTGTCATGACTCATCGTGACAAATTTTGACCAATATGCAGACTGCAACCATTTCCATGCAAACGAAGATACGGACTTGAAATTTTGACCAAGCATTGTGATTGTGTTGGACATAATACTGCCAGACTTGCAGCTATCCAGTATCTATAACCACCCTACAGGATCTCTTCGAATTTGGCACTGTCAGTGCAAATTGTTAAAATCTACCAAAGTTTAAAGCCAAATATTAAAAAAAACATCTACCTGAATATGCTTGTGAATAGTATCATCTGAAAGAGAAAAATTTTTCTCTATAAGACTGATACATTTTTGTTTTGAAATGTGACCATTAAATATCCATTTACTCTGGTCAAAGTACAGTAGAGTCTCGCTTATCCGACCTCCGCTTATCCGACATTCTGTCTTATCCAAAGCTCTTATTCAGCTCTCTTCCATTTCCAATAAGTCAAAAAGGCAAGACAAGGAGGAGGAGGAGGGAGGAAAGGGGGAAAAGAGGCAAGTGGAAGTGCACTCCATCCTTCCCTCTGTGATTTCCATGCTCCTCTTCCACATCTGGGCACTTCCTGCTGGACAACTCTAGCCCTGAGATGTTGCTTTGCCTTAACCCTTTGAGTCCCTGTTGTTAGTAAACTAGGTGTCTAGTGCTGCGTCAGACAGGTAACAGTAGGAGACTCCATATTATCTGACATTTTCATTTATCCCACATTCTGCTGGCCTGTTTATGTTGGATAAGCAAGATTCCACAGTATGTTATATTTTGTACATTTATGCATTATGTTTTATGCATCCTCATTAGACCCCAAAGATGTCATTTTGTTAAATGTCGTGTGCATGCTGATTGACTACCCTTCAGATAAGGGGTCTAGATCAGTAACTATTACAGTTAGAGACCTCAGATTTTGGGAAATTTAGTTTAACACTTGACCGGTGCTACAGCTAAAAGTTGATCAAAATTTGAGAACATGATCACGGGAGGGTTTAGACCACTTGGTATAGAATGACCCAAATGTTAAACATGTAAATATGCAGTTTGTTTCCAAAAGGTACCGAGTTCAAAAATATTTAAAAAATAGTTATAGGCGACAGCACATTGTTGGCTAAGAGCAGAATGTTATGTACAGATCAAAACTCTTGAAATGTATCAAATCATTTCAGTACAGAGCTTTGAAAATTGCATTTTATAGCAAAACAATGTGTAACATCAGTACATTTTTTTACTCCTGTAAAATTTGTTCATATGGATTTGGTACCTTTTGGAAACAAACTCCACAAATGTTGAGGGCTGACTGTACACTGAATAAATGCCACGAAGCCATGAAAAAGTCCAATGGAAATTCTAGCCAATCACACGACAGTCGAAAGGGCCCCTCAGTACATCTGGTTGGGGTAAGGCCACAATGGCAGAAAAGAGACAGGGTTTTCTCCCGCATGGATGCGCTGGTGTCTCTTGTGATGAGAGCTGCGGCTGAAACTTTTCCCGCAGTAAGTGCACGTGTAGGGTTTCTCCCCGGTGTGGATACGGTTATGCTGGGTGAGGGTGGATTTGTCAGTGAAGCTCTTCCCGCAGTCGGCGCAAGTGTAGGGCTTCTCCCCGGTGTGGATCCTCTTGTGCCTGATAAGGTTGGAGCTGACGTTGAAGCATTTCCCACAGTGGTTACACTCAAAGGGCTTCTCCCCCGTATGGATGCGCATGTGCTTGACAAGGTCTGAGGTCTGGTTGAAGCTCTGCCAGCACTCGGCGCATGTGTGAGGGATTTCAAAGGGAGGGTGCTGCTTCTTGGAGACTCTGGCCTTTTTGGCTTTGCCAGGAGCTGACGGCTTGGTGGAGGCACCACTCTCGGGGAGGATGCATTTGCTTTGCTCTTTTCCCAGCGGGCTCTTCAGGTGCCGCTTGTGATGGGAGCTGCGGCTGAAGGTTTTCCCGCAGTCAATGCACTGGAAGGGCTTCTCTCCGGTGTGGGTCCGCACATGCTGCACCAAGGTAGATTTGTCGGTGAAACTTTTCCCGCACTCCGAGCAGAGGTATGGTTTCTCACCTGTGTGGATCCTCTGGTGCCGGCTCAGGTTGGAACTGATGCTGAATGTTTTGCCACAATCTGAACATTTGTAGGGTTTCTCTCCCGTGTGGATTCTCTGGTGGTTGTTCAGGTCAGAGCTCTGCACAAATGTCTGCCCGCACTCTGTGCAAATGTTCAAGTTCTCTCCTGAGGAAGTTCTTTGAGGAGCAATGGCACCTTTGCGTTTGCTCAACTTTTTATCAAGTGTGTCCACTTTCCCCTTACTGTGCACCAGAAAGAGATTCTGCGGCTGTTCTTCAGATTTCTTATGACCCTTGGGCCGTCTTTTTTGGCTTGATGCCTGAGGACCTTTCCCTTTGGATCGTTTTGGAGGCATCTTGATGGGATTCTGCTGAAGTCAAATACTTGCTTCTGAAGTCACGGTTGGAGTTCCATATCCTGCTCTGAACAAGAAAGACAACAAGTTTAAATATGATACACCAGAGACAAGGTTTTTTTTTCCTGTCAATAGAAACTTGAGAAACTGTAAGTCGCTTCTGGTGTGAGAGAATTAGCCACCTACAAGGATGTTGCCCAGATGTTTTATCATCTTGTGGGAGGCTTGTCTCCTGTCCCCACATGGGAAGCTGGAGCTGACAGACAGGAGCTCACCCCATCCCATGGATCCAAACCACCAACCTTCAGGCCAGCAGTTCAGCTGGCACAAGGGTTTAACCCATTGCTTCACCCCAGCTCTTCCCCCAGGGACAAGCTGAGCCTTCCTTATCTGCAATTCCAAATTCCAAATCCTCCAAGATTCAAAATTGTCAATTTGTGTAACTTAGATAGTGGTACCTTTATAGGCAGTTCCCAAACTACAAACATCCAACTTGCATCCGATCTAGTTACAAACAGGGGTAACATAACAGGAAATTAGACGAAATTTGCCCCTAGGAAGGTGAATTCACTTCTGAAAGAGTTATCATGGGAAAAGGGGTCTCCACTGAAGCTTCCTCACCAATCCTTGTTTCCATGATAATCAAAAATGTTCAAAATCCAATTGTCACAGGGATAGAAAATGAGATTTTTTTTGTCGTGTCATGAGCAACTTGAGAAACTGAAAGTCGCTTCTGATGTGAGAGAATTGGCCGTCTGCAAGGACATTGCCCAGGGGACGCCCGGATGATTTGATGTTTTTATCATCCTTGTGGGAGGCTTCTCTCATGTCCCTGCATGAGGAGCTGGAGTTGATCCACCTCTCCCCAGATTCGAACCTGCAACCTGTCAGTCTTCAGTCCTGCCAGCACAGGGGTTTAACCCACTGCACCACCAGGGGCTCCAGAAAGTGAGATGAAATACTCTAAATAGCGTCACAGACAACAAAACAAACATGTTGTCAAAGGCTTTCATGGCTGGAATCCCTGGGTTGCTGTGAGTTTTACGGGCTGTATGGCCATGTTCTGGAAGCATTCTCTCCTGACATTTCACCCACATCTATGGCAGGCATCCTCAAAGGTTGTGAGGTCTATTGGAAACAAGGCAAGTGGGCTTTATCTATCTGTGAAATGTCCAGAGTGGGAGAAAGAACTCTTTTCTGCTGGAGACAGTGTGAATTAGCATTAAATGGCCTTGCAGTTTCAAAGCCTGGCTGGTTGCTGCCTGGGGGATTCTTTGTTGGGAAGTGTGGACCAGTTTAAAGTGGATACTGTGGATTATCTGTCTTCATATTCTGGGTTATATGTCTGTGTGGAAGTGGTGTCAAACTGCATGAATTCTATAGTGTCGATGCACCCTAGTGATGTGGAAAGCATGCCTTTCAAAACAGAAAATTGCAGGATCCCAGGTCTGCCTTATCTATCTCCTCCTTGGCGTGCTTTTCTTCTGTTGCTTTGGGTTAGAGGTCAGTTTCGCTCCTGGGGCGAGGCCAGGACAAAATAAAAGAGAGCACTGCTTACTTTGAGGGCTGTTCAAAGGACCAGGCGTCCTTCGGATGGGAAAAGTGACTCCTGGCCTTCCTTGCGGGTGGGTGGCTGGTCTCAGGAAGCAAAGCGAGAAAGATGGGTGGAGGCTGAGAGAGGATGGAGGCTTTCCCCCCTGGATTTCAAGGGAGGAGGAGAAGGAGGAGACTTCGGATGGGAGGCTGCTCTTTCAAAACAGAAATCAAAATCCTGCCGGCATTTGGGGAGGGGGGCGGCAGGATTTGGGGGTCGCCAGAGAGGAAGAGGAGGGGAGACAGGAAGCAGCATCGCCTCCTAACCTGGGAAGCCCAACCTCAGCCTCCAGATTGGAGAGAAAGCGAAGGAAGAGCGAGCCAAGGAGAGCCGCTTCCAGCCACTGGAGTCCTCTAGTGGCTGCAGAGGCTGGAAGCCAGCTCATCTGCACATCTCTGCACTGAAGAGTGAATGCACTTTGATACCACTTGAACTGCCATGGCTCCGTGCTGTGGAATCCTAGCACTTGTACTGCGTTCCTTGGGTTTTGGGTGGGAATATTTTAATAAATCAAACGCAGAAATAACCCTTAGAATGTGCTCTTTAACTACCACTATTCACTTTCCCACATAATCACCAGATAATTGGATTCATTTCTGCCAATGATGAACAAGTTTTCTGAAGCCCCCACGGAAGAAGTCGACACTCTTGTTTCTGCAACCAGCATCTCACAGTGCTCTCAATGTCTTCATCAGAAACATAATGATGTCCCCGCAGATCTTCTTTCATGATCGGGAACAGATGGAAGTCAGATGGTTCTAAATCTGGACTGTATGGAGGATGTCGTATGGTGGTGGTCTCTGAAGTTTCAAGTCTGTACACTTTCATTTCAGGCATCAGCATCCTGGGTACCCATCGTACACAGATAGCCAATCAAAGCAATAATGTGACCCACATGTTCTTGTGAAATGCTGATTATGCTTGACATTTCTCTCTGACTGATACGATGATCATCCTGAATCAATCTGTCAACCTTTTCCTTGTGAAACTCGATGATTGCTGTCACAGGATGTCCAACTCTTTGTTTGTCACACAAGTCAGATGTTCCCATCTCAAAATCTTTAAACTTACTCACCCAACGACACACAGTACTCGCATCAACACAATCACCATAAACAGCTTGCATTCTCTGATGAATCTCAGTTGGGGTGACACCTTCTGCTGTCAATAATTCAATGACTGAATGTTGCTTAAGTTGCATTGACTGACCATCTGTGCAGGGTTCCATACTTCACACTTTAACAACACAACCATTCAATGCTAAGGCTTCCTGCCAAAACGGAACTGTAGAGGAAAGTCTACTGAACAAGCCAGTACCTGCCACATACCAGCACTGCCATCTGTTGAGGAGTTACAAAGGTGGAGGAATTACTTTTAATTCATCCCTCATAGTTGAGTGAGGCAACAACACCACGCAGTACTTACAGAACACACCTTGTACATGAAATGAGTGGGCCAACCAGGGAAGTGTGTTGAACCGTTAGGGTTGAAATCTGAGGTGCCTCTTCTTATCCACAGGAAATACATATCCTGGCAATGGAAGTCTGTAGATTTTGCACCAATTGAGCTTTCACTTGGTTATAAGAAACAGCTTAGCTCATATAAAGATCTAACAAGACAAGCTTCTTGATTTTGCTCCTCTTCTATGGTTTCTTTGGCAGGGCTTTGATTAGATCAGCATTTCTCAATCTATGGGTCAGGATCCCTTGGGGGGGGGCATGAGGGGTCACCAAAGACCATCAGAAAACCCAGTATTTTCTGTTGGCCATGGGGGTTCTGTGTGGGAAGTTTGTTCCAATTCTTTCATTGATGGGATTCAGAATCCTCTTTAATTGTATGTGAACTATAAATCCCAGCAACTACAACTCCCAAATGACAAGGTCTATTTTCCCCAAGCTCCACATTTGGCAATATTGAGTATTTGTGCCAAGTATGCTCCACAGTCATCATTGTTTGAATCCACAATGCTCTCTGGATGTAGGTGAACTACAACTCCAAAACTCAAGGTCAATGCCCAACCAAACTCTTCCAGTATGTTCTGTTGGTCATGGGAGTTCTGTGTGCCAAGTAATTCCATCATTGGTGGAGTTCAAAATGCTCTTTGATTGTAGGTGAACAATAAATCCCAGCAACTTCAACTTTCTCTGATTGCCCAAAATATCACTGTATCAATGGTTTCTTCCAGATAAGTGAGAAATCCACTCTAGGTTCATGGCTTTAAAGGAACTCTCCGAAGTGCTGAACCAGATTCCTCTCAAACTTACCAGATACCAATGGATACTAGGATTAGAAGAAACAATCTTCTTTCAGTAACCATCTCAAAATGTGCCAGACCTCTACAGTGGGAAAACCAGAGAATCACCTCTGAGGATGCTTGCCATAGATGCAGGGAAACGTCAGGAGAGAATGCCTCTAGAACATGGCCATATAGACTGAAAAAACCTAAAACAACTCAACAAGAGAATCATTTTGTTGCCATTCTTGCGATCTACAGTCAGGCAGCTTGTACAGGCAGTACAACAAACTTACCATAGCTCTGCATGACTTAGGATCTGCAGGGATCAATCCAGTTCCTACTCCTACTAAAGCAGATCATTCAATCAGAGGTGGGAAATATGAATCCCTCCAGATTTCATTTTTGTAGGAAGCCATTTATTCCTATTACTTACTTACTTACTTAGGCAATCCCTCGTTATCCGAGTATGATGGTCTTCCAAGTGTAGTGTCTTGGTGGTGGATACACAAGGGGAGCCCTATTCTTGACCCACATGTTCTCCCGTAGTGAGGACATCAGTTTCCACATGGAAGGCAGTCCCAGTCAGGATTGGCTTGACGCATTTTCCTCTTGGCACATTTTGCCCTCCATTCATTCCTCTTTGAATTCCACAGCACTGCTGGTCACAGCTGACCTTAAGTTAAAGTGCTCAAGGACCAGAGCTTACAAGTTCTTAGAAGCACCTTGGTATCCCCGTTGATGTCCCAATCCTCAAACACTCTATGCTTCATTTGGAAAAATGCTGCACTCGCAGAGCTCAGGCGGTGTTGTATTTCAGTGTCAATGTTGACTTTTGTGGAGAGGTGGCTGTCAAGGTAGGGGAATCGGTCAACATTTTCTAATGTTACACCATTAAGCTGTATTTCTGGCATTGCAGAAGGATTGGCTGGTGACTGCTGGAAGAGCACTTTGGTTTTCTCAATGTTCAATGAGAGACTGAACTTCTCATATGCTTCTGCAAAGGTGTTTAGAGTGGCTTGAAGGTCTTCTTCTGAATGCGCACAGACTACATTATCATCAGCATATTAGAGTTGTATAACAAACGTTGTTGTGACCTTAGTTTTGGCTTTCAGTCTGCTGAGGTTAAATAGCTTGTCATCTGTCCAATAAGATGATTTCCACTCTGGTGGGAAGCTTCCCATCAACAAGATGAAGTCTCATCCTAC